ATGTTATCAGATTCGTTATCAGCACTACTGAAAATGATAAGACCTCTAAAAGGCACTCATGGAAAAGCACCTTAAGATGAAGGTATGGAGCTTTTTGACTGCCCAGAAATGAATCTGTTAGAAAGCAAGAATGAGAAATATGAGTTAAATTATATCGATCCATGCATTCAAAAAGTTGCCTCAGACATGGTCAAGCGGGTTGTAGAGGAGGAAAGGAAAGCAAAATCATCAAGTCTTTCTTTGTATGCTGACATACAGAAAGATGCAATTTTTCTTGACAAATTGCAGGATCTACTCAACACTCAGCCCACATCAATGCAAGTTTAAAATGAAGATTGCAAGTTGATCAGTGTGTCAGTAAGCAGTTAATAAATAATGAAGGAAGTGATGAATATTGGATGCTGGAAGTATGAGCAGTCTCCCATTCATGAGGGCGGAAGTTCTACCAAGTATAGACGATGACATTGACGAGGACAGAAACTCCTTTTGTTTATTTGACTAGCCCATGAACTTGTGTTACAATTTTGTTTTCATTGTGTTCAATATAAAGCAAGAAACTTTCAAAATTTATTTGGAATGTATATTTTTTTCAGACTTTTTAACCCTGCCCATTTATCAACCTATCTCAGATTCTCATATTAGATCATCATTTGTTTTATGCTAGAACCCCCGGGAACCAGTTTAATATAAAAATGGCAGCTTTTAAACAATGTTGACTGACAACAAATCCATTGAAAGCCCACCTGATGGAGCATCCATGCAGGTAGAAGAATGTGATGGAGTTGAGAAAAATGATCTGCTATCAAAATCATAACGACAGGCCAAAAGATGGAAGTCATTGGAATGAGCCGAAAAAGAAGATCCAAAGCCAGAAAGCCAAGACCACAAGAATGAGAACTTCCCTGACAAGAAAGATATGAAACGACTGTGTAGTGGTCAGAATGAATCATGACCATTTTGTCGTGCAAGAGAAGAAGTCCTGGAATCATCGCTAGATGTACTGCAAGAAGTTTGAGAACGTTGAAATACAGGGTAGATTCGTAGTCGGTCAAATTACCCTGGAATGCCTACCCCAGAAGAAAGGCCCCCCATCCATGAAAAAATGGATTTCCACACAAGGAGGTGGTATGGACCCTGATATTCCTGTTGTTCCTGTATAGCCATCACTTGAGATCTGCAAATTGTTCGAGCAAAGAGACTGTGTGATCCAAAGGATTGGTTTGCATGAGCCACTGGCCGCAAAATGACCACTAAAGGGATCTCATGTGGGCCTGATCCAATGGTATGAGGGATCCTAGGGAAGCCCAAATCCCCAAAACAGAAGGAACCATCCATGTAGTGGGAGAAGGTGACATAAGCAAATGCCTGACTAACCCTTCCCTGGCATGAAGTCCGAGGGGAGAAGGTTGAGCTAGATTCAATGTGCATTGAAAAACAACCCAAGATGGACCATGTATGGAGTCAGTGAGAGGGTGGATTTTTCCAACCTAATGACAAATATGTGGATGTAATGTGGCAAAGTGACAGGTTGGTGCCAAAAGAAGTCAATCTTCCAAATAGTGATGTGTGCACAGACCCAGTAAATGAAGATGCTGCTCAAAGACCCGTACTACTCGGCAGAAAATATATGGTGCTGAAGCAAGCCCAAACGGGAGAGCTTGGAACTGCTACATCTGGTCCTCATGCAAAAAATGAAGAAATCTTAGCAAAGACTCTGCTATGGGGAGGTGAAGGGAGCCATCTGTAAACATCAAACTTGGTCATTCAAAGATCAGATGTGAAGTGCCACTGAAGTTGAAAAAAAGATTCCATGGTGAACTGAGAAGGCTGTAAGAAGAGATTGAGTTGAGACAGATTGATGATAAGAAACCATTCTCAAGTGTTCTTGGTCACCAAAAAAAAGATGAAAATAGAATCCTGGATGAATGAGATCGACCTTCTGAATAGTAGACAATGACGCCACTGTCACCATCCCAACCTTCTGAAGATCCCGAGAATATGGACGGAACCGATTCTGTAAACTAATAAGACGAGGTGTCGAAGTTGGGGGCCACGAGATGCGAATGAGCCATCCTCCAGAATTATCTATTGGAGTAGAAGAGAGGGAAGCAGCCAATGACAATAAAAAAAAAATTTCAAATGTGGCATATAAAATCAGGCTTCGGAAGTTTCAGGGACTCCAGCAAACTAATAAGGCAAAAAAATCACGAGGAGAAATATCACAATACACTAGTAAGAGTGAAATGAATCTGCAAAAATGGAGATTTGGTAAGAGAGATAACAGGTTCTAACCTGGAAATCCCATAGATCCAACAACAAATCCAGCTGTTGAGTGTCCAAATACACTACAGCCAGATAATGATAAGCCAGGACATGTTGTTCTGAAAAATGAGGAGAGCAAGGCATAGCAATACTCTCTCGTAATTGCACCGCAAATATCCCAGCATACGTGATAATATCAGGGGAAGGAGGAAGAACTAAGTAACCCCCCTCCCATCAAGATCTATCTGACAACAAGGCAGGGTAGACTCAAAAGCAAAGGGGTGAATCCCAAAGCTTTACAAAATTGTGTAACTAACTGCAGAAAAGAGGCAGAAGATGGCCAATCAGATGAGCCAGCAGTAGAGGCAGAAAGAAGGAGCAGAAAACAGTGTCTAAATTCTCCCCAGTATATTTATGATGAAAACCTAGCTCTGAACCCCCAGGCCACATGAAGGACTCCAACTCATCCCAAATCAGGTCACAGACAGCCTCCACCGAAAGTGGACCCCCCTCCCCCAACTGCCGACTACCACCAGACAACAAAGGAGGAATGGACGAGGTCTGATTAACTCCAATGCCAGAATCTGTTACATGGGAATTCATACCCAATTTTTTTTTTCAATCACAAAAGAAAACCAGCGAAATAGCGGCAACGGAAAAAAAAAATTAACCCCAAAACATAATTCCTAGCGCTTTGTTGAGAAAAAGTACCTGCATAGAGGGTGTGTGAGGGCCAGTGTAAAGTACTGCAAATTAGATATTGCTGAAGGAAGTCAAGTGGTGTATAAAGACTGGAGCAAGCGAACACGATGGTTAGATGGCAAAGATGAAGATCGAGGAATAGCTGTGTGTCAGTGAAGGTATGTATGTTTTGGAAGTAGGTCTATATATCTGTGTGTGTGTAATATATATTAACAGTAATCAGAAAAATTAACTCTATTGACTAAACTTTCTGTTTCGAAAAAAAGGTACATCCAAAAATGGCTGAAATCAAAATTGGCAACCAAACTGGTAGCTACACAGATAGCATTGATAAGAATTTTACAGCAAATATTCATTCATTAGTTCGCAATGCTGCATCGTTTGTTCAACGTGGGGCACAATAATGGGTAAAAAAAAACCCTATTCGGAACAGACTTTTATTTTACAGAACCAACCAGATTCTTTAAAATATGTGGTAGTAGTCTGTGTTAATAACTTCCTTTATAGTAACGCTGTGGAATCTAGATTAACCCGCATGCACTTGGTACAGCCTTATCAAGCATCATTATTTATGGAACTTACTTAAGCTAATATCACGTGATGCTAAACACTTTTTAATTAGAAGAATTTCATACAATTTAGTAAATGTGCACTGAAAAATTGGATATGAATAATAACTGTCCACCCATATGATTCTTTTAAAATATTGAGCTAGAAACTGCTAATCTAGTTTGCTTGGCCTAACCAATACTTGTGTATCTACATGTCCTTTCACCCTATAGTCTTGCTGCTCTAAATTAGCCATCTTTGATCCAAATGTCAAAAAACTAAAAACAATCCATTTTTAACTCATGGGTGAAGCTGTAGTAAAAATATTGGACTAATAGCATGCGCAACTTTTTCCATAAGCATGCACAAAAATTTTGGTCAAATTTGAGCTGTTTTTGTTCAATAACTTTGCACATGTGGCTTATATTTAGACCAAATCTGACATCTAATTGTAGGTTGTAAAGTATGATTTTATATCAAATAAAGTTCTCATACTTTCAATGCAAAGAAGAAAAAAAAAGGGACAAAATTCAATAAAAATTGGAGATATTACATCTCAGATATTTCTTAATGGATTGGCTTGAAATTTAACATGTTAAGTACGAGTCCAAAAGAGCAGATCCACAAAAAGTTTACAATAGTTTGGATTACCATAGTCAAAGCTACAGAACATGGAAAATCTCTGAACTATTACTCCTGTTAATAACACACATAGTGTGTCCTGCAGATTTGTTGGCTGCACGACACACTACCATGTGTCTTGACATATACTACAAACTACTTAAATAGACCATAATGGCAGTATGATGAGGATAATGGATTTTGGCAAGTTTCATTTTTTAATGTATTGTTTTGTCTATGATACTGGAAGGTTCAGAACTTTCCCTTATTTAAACATAGTTGTATACAGATATATGTGTGTGTGTCTCTCTCTAGTGATAGGTCACTTTGCTTAATCTAAATATTGATAATTTATGACAAACAGATTAAAAAACTTACAGATAGTCCTATTGTTAACACAGATTTAGGATAGTACAGATACATTAGGGTAATGGTAATTAATTTAGCAAAGTAATTACTAGAAACTAATAAGATTGTTTGTTTATTTGTTTTAGAGCGAAGGCTCATTGGGCTATCTGTTGTGACCATCACAAGAAATTGAACCACAGATTTTAGGATTTTAAGTCCATAAACTCCCCACTGTCTCATTTGGGGACAATTACTGATTTGTGATAGAGGTAGAGGACTAATAGGAAAACAAATCTTTATTTGACTACATTCATAGCTAGTATATTATGCACAGTTGATATTAGAAATCTTTAGGCTGGAAGAACTTTATTCTTGTGGAAAAGTGAGATCTGACAAAAGTCTTCATTTTAATATACTTGTACTACAAAATTAAAAAGGAACATTTGCACACCCAATATATGATAAAAATGATTTTTTTTTAACTTTCTATTTATATTATATTTCAAAATATCACCTACTGCAATAAATCTTTATCTGTCCGAAAATGTGCGAAACAACTGGAGAGAAGAATCACTTGCTTAAAATGATGCTCCTGTATCCACTGTATGAGAGATGTCCTAAATTCTCTTCTTCGGTTCTGCAAGTATTTTCATAACTTGTGACAATGTTTACAGAGTATCATCAAAATATCTTATTTACATACATTTTCCTTTATTCTATATCAGGGGTGGGCAATAATTTTTGCAGGGGGCCCACTCCAAGAATTTTTGTAACTCGTCACAGGCCACATGTTTCTAATATATTAATTAAATTATTTCAACATCAACTGTATAAAGATCCACTATTGCCTGAAGTCATGGCAGGCAGGACAGAAAAGTTAGATGGTCTGAATCTGGCCCACTGGCCATATTTTGCCCACTCCTGTTCTAGATTAACCCTATCCTACAGATTTTTCATATATCATACTAAAGGACATATTTATCACACTTAACTACAATAACTTATTTGTTCTAGAATATCATTTTTCATGGATTTGTACAGATTGAGACATTTGAATATAATGTGAAAACTACATATTGCAATTGTACAAAATACTAAATATATTAAAAAATTTAGGTAAGGAAGATAACTTTAGGAGTTAACTGTTAAATTGAATTTATGAAATTATGAAAATTTAAGAAGGCTTATTATATATACGTCTTTTAAATGACATACTATACAAATGTATAAATAAAGTAAGCAAACTAAGCCAAGATGTTCTAGTACTTGTTGTCCTTAAGAAATCTAAATTAAATTCAGGCTAATCACACTTGATTTAGTTCACAGAGAAATATTAACTTCTGTATAGTGCAGAGTAACAAGTTAATTTATCTGTAATTTAATATACCACTGGTTAAAACCAAATTACATTTAATTTCTGCTCATGTTAAGATAAAAAGTACCCCAGTTTTCTACATATTCCAATAAAGCATACAACTTCATTTTTACCTAAATATAACATTAATCTTGCAACCACATCCACTACAGTAGTGTCCTATCTTACTCCTTTAGTTTAAGTTATGTGAAATTACTTTAATAATAATTTCACGAGAATTTTAGAAATAATTTCTGAAATAATAACATCTTTGATCTCACCCTTGTCTAATGTCCCAACTTAGGTATACATCATTACAAGAATTCACTAGCCATACAGAGCCTTGCAAAAGTCTTCAACCGCCTTGTGCTAGTAATAAATGTTAGGTATTTTCTTGTGAAAGGCATAACTTAAATGGCCAAAAATATTTATTATATCAATCTCAGACCAGTTTCTAAAGATTACAAAGAACAAAAGGTGCATTGTTACCCAATTTAGAGATATAACACAAAAAAATCTTGAAAACGCATGTTGCAAAAGTCTCCACCCCCTAGCTTTTACCATCATTGATTTAACTTTACATCACTACCCTGCTAAAGTAAATACAAGTGGCTTTGTACAACTCTATCAGATACCAAAGTATATTATAGAGTCATGTGAAAAAATACTTTACGTTACATAGAGCCATCAGTATTGATTTAAGCAGAGTATTTTGAAAGTTAAAATTTGGTTTACTGTTACATATTGAGAATGATGAGAAATTAACTCTCTACAGACCTAGGGAGAAGATTATTCACAAGCACAATTCCAGAGAATGCTATACATCAGTTTCAAATGTTCTCAATTAGTCATTAGTACTGTAAAATCAGTTGTGATAAAATGGAAAGTGTGTCACACTACCTCAACCTTGCCAAGATCAGGTCACCCTAAAAAAAAAGTCTGCACTCAAACAAGCCAAAAAATTGTCAGAGAAGTGACTGTCAAGCCAACATTGACACTGAAGGAGCTGCAGACTTCAATAGCAGCAACTGGAGTTACTGTACACACCTTGAAAATATCACATACCTTACACAAAAAAGGTTTGTATGGTATGGTGGCAAAAAAGAAACCACTACTGACGAAGATGCATCTTAGATCGCGAATGAACTATGCCTGTAAACATTTCAATAACCCTACAATAATGTGGCAGAAAGTTCTATGGCCAGATGAGACCAAAATAGAACTTTCTGGGTTAAATGACAAATGGTACATATGAAGGAAACCCAACACTGCTCATGACCCGGCAAATACAGTCCCAACTGTCAAGCATGGTGGTGGGTCCATAATGCTGTGTGGCTATTTTTTAGCAGCTGGCACTGGAGAACTTGTACTCATTCAAGGGACCATGGACAGTGCAAAATATACACAGATGTCAGAGGCAAACCTGAAGAAGTCAGCTGAAAAACTAACACTGGGTCAAAGATTTACATTTCAACAGGACAATGATCTCAAACACAAATCAAAGGCAACCCAAGAATGGTTTTGGAGAAAAAAAATTAAAGCCCAGACCTAAATCTACTCAAAAATCTGTGGAGAGACTTGAAAATTGCTATGCATCGAAGACATCCTTCCAACTTACAAATACTAGAGAATATCTGCAAGCAAGAGTGGGCAAAAATATCTCCAGGATACTGTGCCAAGCTTGTGGAGGGTTATCAAAAACAATTTTGAGCTGTCATTGCTGCCAAAGAAGCTTCAACCAAATATTAACTGCATAATCATGTTAGAGAGTGTAGACTTTTGCAACTTGTGTTTTCAAATTTTTTTTAGTGTTATATCACTAAAGTGAGTAACAATGCACCTTTTGCTCTTTGTAATCATTATAAACTGGTCTGAGATTAACATAATAAATATTTTTGACCATTTGAGTTACGTCTTTCATAAGAAACTATCTAAAACTGATTACCAAGACAAGGAGGTGAAGGGTTTTGCAAGGCATTGTACAAAGAAACATAAGTAAACCAGTAAAAGAAAGGAAAATACAATATTTATTGCTATTATTTCAGTTTATGAAATGTGTACTTTTTTTTTTCCATGTGAATTTACACTTTTTACACAATAATCATTTTATACTTTTAATTATAATAATCTGAATTTAGTAATTTTATTGTACTTTTGTGAAATAAACATGTTCATCAAAATTCCTTAACACAAAGAAAATTATGTTTTCACTCTGAGCTACTTGGTTAATGTTATAAATTTACATAATTATTAAATATGTTAAAATTCATGATTATGCTAGGAAACCATGAGATAAAAATATACATAAATCACAAAACAAGAAACAACTCAGCTAAGCACTTTCAGAAGACAGACCTTCCTTAGAATGATCCGAGAATGAGCAAGAAAGAAGGTTTAACTTTAAACAGCCCTAGGGAAGTTTCTTCTTCCTTATTACATTTTGAAAACAGCCAAACATATTTTTTTTGTATTAATTTTTGCCTAAAAAATTATAAATTTTGAAACACACATTTATGAAACAGAAATTTTCATAGGATTTACTTGTTGTGAAGAAGAAGAAAGTCTTGGGTATGTTTTTCTGGAAAAGTTGGATAGTTTCAGCTGAGTAGTGCCTAGAACTAAGTAGGCTTTTGGATAACATATTTACATACACTTTTAATTATAGAGTATGAAAGTTTTCACTTTCTATGAGACTAGTAATTTTCTACTTGGAGTACTGTACTACCCATTCACTGCAGCTGGGATGTATATTCCAAGTACTCCCATCCCTTCACACTGCAACGGGGACAAATGGTTCCCACTGTTATTCAAAATTGCTGCGTGTAACATATAGGAGTAAAATGAGTTGGAAAGTATTTATTAGCATCCTACCTAATGTTGATATATGGTTTCCCTTAATGATTTCCACTCAGCCCTTCAGTAACCAACAAAATGCTAAAGTGGAATGTATGACAACTGCATGCCGACTGTGCTTGCATCACTGGAGCAGCAATTAGTAACCCTAATTATTATGTAAGTATGCTTGATGTGCTTGACTTGGATAGCTAAGATAATGAAAGTGAGTCATGTGGTGTTCAAATGCTTGATGATAAAGAGACGATAAGACAAGATGAAACTAGTTCTCCATCTAATGATGATAGGCAAGATGATGAACCTGGACCCAGCAGAAAAAGGCAAAACAGTATCAATGTGCCTTATAAAGGGCAGAGACATGGGAATGAGTTACCAGCAACTTTGAGCCAACAAACTTTTCATTTCATAGAACAAGCTCTGGTTTGACAAGTGATTGTTCTGTCACTGATAGTTCAGAAGAACTGTATGACTTCTTTGAGTTTTTGATGGACTTGACTGTGAATGAAACAAATCACTATTATCGTTACTTGAAGATAACACTCACAAAAACTTTTCTCAAGAGTCGGATAGGACAATTCCATGATACTACAATAGATAAAATGTAAAGATTTTTGTGTATAGTAATGATAATGTCTCATAAGAAACTCAGAATAAATTATTACTGGACCACCAATAAAATGCTTAAGTTTTCAAATGAATTTCAATTCATGGCTAGAGATTGATTTTTGGGACTGTTACGTTGTGCATATGCTTTCTACTGTTCATCAACATAATACGATTGACAGTGAGAGGTCAAGTCGACCTAGTGAAAAAGCCTGCATGCAGATTAGAATACAATGACAAATTAACAATCATCTATAAATGTGATATGCATATTAGTTGCATAGAGTGTGTTTGAAAAACTTCAAGGGCGTACATCAAACTTTTTTGTCATATCCTTAATATGTCAGTATTGAAAGCATTCAACATGTACTAAGTGAAAACTTGTAATAAGCCAGACTTGCTTGCCTTTAGTAAGGTAATACAAAATCAAATGGCTGCCAGATACTATGCAATAAGTGTTACATCACTGGGTCATGTTGTAGGTCAGCAAGAATCTAGATTAGTTGAAAGACATTTTTTGTACCTAATTCTAGATGTCCTAAAACCCTGTCAGAGGTGTTATGTTTGTCCTCATAATAAGAGGAGACAAAGGAAAGAGCAAAGAACTCCTTACTTGTGTCAAGACTGTGACGTGCCTTTGTATGCAGTCCAGTATTTCAAGAAGTATCATGCTCTTAGGACATTATTAATAAACATAAGTTTCATGAAAATGTGCAATAACATCCAATTTTTTATAAGCAAATTCTGATATTATAGAAATGTAGAACTATCAGTCTTTCATACATCAAACATGACATGTATAATAAAATATATTTAGTGTGTATTGC